ACGTTCCTAGTCCCTTGTTCATCATGGTGTTACCAGGTGAGATGGAAGGGACCTACTTGTTCATCAGTAGGCTGAAATATGCTGCCTTGGCAACAAATGTACTGAATGGACTGGTCCCATTCTTTACACATCATTTGGGGGAGTTGACGACTACTCAAGCTGATAGGGTGATTGCGAAGTGGCTGTCCAAGTCTCTGATCCATACGACACGCCGCAAGGAACTTGTTTGGTGCTTGGAGACTTTACGGGCTCGACCATTGGACCAAACTCTATAAGGCATTGACGAAGCTATCGATTTCCTTGATGGATTTGGGTCTGACCCACTCGACGTCGCCGAAGCTAAGCTGGAATTTGATATGGAAATGGCTGATGCAAAAGACATCGATGATGGAGCGACAGTAGCAGGCGCCATGGATGAGCTACTTGAGGAGGATAGCCAATTGGAAGCGGCAATCACTGAAATTGAGTTTAAGGAGACTCTTTTGGTTGAAAAGAGCAGCGCTTTGGAAGCTGAACGAATTCGGTCTGAGTCCCTGGCCAACGAACTTGCGGCTCTGCGCCTCCTGCAACAGACTATTTCGAGCCAAGCGGCGCAGCCGGCTGTGCCTCCCCAACCTGCAGCCATGGTTCCCTTTCCCCAGGACAGGTCAGAGTCAGCAGCTTCCGATTCTGTCGCGAAGGAGCCAACTCCGCCGGCTACTCCAGCGCAAGCAGCCAAGTCAAGCCCGCTTACGGCTCCACTACCGAGCTCGCCACCTCGGGCTACCACGACCATTGCCAACCAACCTCCGCCTCGAGACACCAACGCTGCTGCTTCTTGGAGGGAACTTGTGACTCCAGATCACACAGCACGGATGCTGTCGACCTCGGACCATAGCAATGCGTTGGACCCACGCTCCGGTTCAGGGTCCTCTACTCCGTCTCTGGCCAGTTCTCGGGTCTCCGACAATCCCTCGGATGGTTCCCCATCCCCGGTCTTCCCTATCTTCCGTCATCCTCAACACTCTCCTCCTTCTGACCGTACTAAGGGTAAACAAAGGAAGAAGAAGCCATTGGCCAGCCGTGGAGCCTCCCGCTCCACGGCAGGGCCATGAGAGGCCCTCGATCGTCTGCCGCTCGGTCACGGCGTGCAGGCAGAAGATCCCGACTAAGTGGCCCCTCGACTGATGTTCCCCATGCATCAGTAGAGGAATTTTTACGTTCTCTTTCTGCTGGCGATTTCTTTGGCGATGACCATTGATACCATCGTTCTGTGTTGACTCGCCTGATCTTCCAAAATGTCAATGGCCTCCCGGCCGTGTCGATAGGGCGGAAACAGTTACAGATTAATCAGTGGCTGCAAGATGAACAAGTGGGAATTGCGTTGTTGGCCGAGACCAACACGCACTGGCCTTCTCTTCCTGAAGGTCATAACTGGAATGATAGGATGCGGCAAGTCGGGCCCCAGGGGTACTATTTGGCAACAGCACATAATGAGAATCGCGCTCGGCCAATTGCGTCTTGCTCTCAGTATGGCGGATGCGTCGCCACTGTCTTGAATTTGGTGGCACATCGAGCCAAGTCATGTGGTAGGGACCCGTCCAAGTTGGGAAGGTGGGCGTACGTGCGCCTTCGAGGCAAGAAGTTTGATATGCCATCCTCGGATAACCAAGTCAACAAGGCTGCCGATGCGTCACATAGCCGGTTCTCTAAAGACTTGGTGGTTGTCTCCGCGTACCGGCCAAACCCCCCGGGTAAGGGCGAATCTACGGTATGGGCGCAACACCGCAGCTTCTTCCGCTCTCAAGGCAGACAGCGTGATCCAAGGGAGGCGTTTATGGTGGACCTTTTACGTGCAATCACCCAATGGCGCGACGAGGGGTGCGAAGTGATTGTGGGCGTGGATGCTAACGAGGATGTCTCCTCATACCAGGATTCCTCTTTTCGCCAGCGACTTCGTAGCATAGGATTGGAGGAAGCAATCCTACAACGTCATCCAAGTCGAACTGCAGCAACCCAGCATCGCAACAAACGTGGCAGACCCATTGATGGGATTTTCGCAACTTCCGGAGTGGTGATTAAAGCGGGTGGCTACTACAACTTTGATGAATTTTTCGCCTGTGATCATCGCGGTCTGTGGATTGATATTGATTTGGAACGGTCTCTTGGCAGCTATCGTCCGGAGAAGACACCATATAAGCCTCGCAAATTAACAATGCTTGACACTGCGGCTGTTCGACGCTATCTCCGGCTGGTTCACCAAGGCTATGACGTGTACTCCATTCCATCGCGGTTGGAGCAGCTTCATAGACAATTAACATTAAACAGTGGGATTATGACTGAGAAAATGGGACGCCAGTATAACTGCTTGCACAAGCAGATGTACGATATTCGTCGGAAAGCGGAAGCGAGGTGTCGAAGGGTTACAAATGGGGCTGTTCCGTGGTCTCCTCAGATCCAAAACTTTTGGGACCGCCAGTCCCTCTGGAAGCTACTGCTGAAGGGAAGGAAGCAATGTCGAGTCAGCTCGCGGAAAATCCGTCGCCTTATGAAGAAGACTAAGTTGCCCGACGCGTGGAAGAAGACTACAGTTGAATTGGAGACGGCATTGCGTAATGACAGGAAGGAGTACCTGCATGCCAAGAAAAACCACGCGGTTTCATGGCGCAAGGAGTTCTTGACTGTTCAAGTGAAGAAATCTAAGAAGAAACAATGGACATCGCGCAAGGCTAGGGATCGCTTTTTGAGGTTACGGCGGATGAAGCAACGAGAGGAGGCGAGACGCCGCCGCCGCGCCCAGTCAAAAGGATCTACCGGCGGTTTGCAAGCGATTCAAGTTGAGGAGACGTTACCTACCGGACAAGTGGATCTGCGAATTCTCACCGACCGGAGACAAGTCGAGCAAGGGTGCATGCAGGAAAATCGCGCACGGTATGACCAGACTCGATCGCCCTATACGACTCCTCCCATGGACGAACCTTTGTATTCTATGTTCACCGGGGCAGACGCAGAGCGGAACTCTCACGCACTTCTGGAAGGCCGCCTTCCCATGCTGGAGGGGATCGATCCTTACACTAAGTCATTCCTGGAGCAGTGCCGTTTCCATCAAGGGCACTCTATGATCCCGATGGAAGTGTCGCCGGCCGACCATACTTACTTCTGGTCCCGGAATCCAGAGAATAAGGGCTCGGAACCGCATGGGCTTCATAACGGTCATTTCAAGGCTGGGATTGATTCCCCCATGGTGGCCCAATGCGACGCTCTCTTCCGCCACATACCCTTGACAACTGGGTTTGTCCCAGACAACTGGCGGCATCTGATGAATTTTGCCATTGAAAAGAAGCCAGGCGACTTTCGGCTGACAAAAATGCGTACAATTCAGCTCATGAATTCTGAATCCCAAGCGAACTACAAGAAACTGGGCCGCCTGGCCATGGCCTACGGCGAAGAACATCACCTCCTGGCCGATGGACATTGCGGGTCTAGAAAGCACCATCAAGCGATTGATCTTGCCCTGTCTAAACGTCTTGTGTGGGACCTTCTGATTCTTCAGCGCCGCTCTGCGGGGTGGATTTCAAATGACGCAAAGTCGTGTTTTGATC